TGTACCCTCTCACTATGCTTATTTAATCTGCACACTGAGCAAATAATAAGAGAATCAGGATGAGGACTAACAAGGTATCAGGGTCTTAGGAAAACTCACTCCTAGCCAGCGATTTGCAAACGACACAGCCGTGGGTACTGAAAAGAAGTAAGATTTGAAGTGGGTACTGATGGAGATAAATGACTGCAGTCCAGTGTGGAGTATACCTCAACAGAGAGAAAACAAAACGCTCTCAACTGGACCAAGAAGCACCATCATGGTAAATGGAGAAAAGATGGAAGTGTCCAAAATGTCAACGGATTTGGGTCCACAGGCTACACCCATATAGAAGCAGCGATCGATAAAACACATACATGTTTCATTGGACAAGTCTTTTGCAAAAGAACTTTTTAAAGCACTCAAGAGCCAAGATGTCACTTTGAGTACTGAGGTGTGCCTGACTCAACCCATAACGGCTTAATCCCTTCATATGCAGGTGACGGAAGACCTAATACGAATGAAGGCGTCTGAGTTATCGTGTTGGCAAAGAATATTCAATATGCCATGGAGGATGAACAACCAGAAGGATCCATGAAGGTGAGGGTCAGAGGACTTCGCCCCTGTCCTGTAGACGTGGGCCTCATTCTTGGGAAAGTAGAGGATCACAAGAGGGGATGACCCTCAGTGGGGTGGATGGCACAGCAGTCAGGGTGAGCCTGGCACAGGACCTCACCTGCTGGACCCTGGTGTCTGAGGAGAAATGGACGTGCTGGCATCTAACCACAACAGCGAATTCTCTAAAAGAATTCTCCCATTGGGACTAATGCAACAAAATGCACCCCCAACTGATTTCCACTGCAGTCCCTTGTGACCCGTTTTCCAACGACAATGGAGGACATTTTAACGATAACATAGCCTATCTGCTTAGTATCCTGCGAGGAGGGACACAAACAATCCTGGATGCAGCCTACAGAGCAGTGCAAGCCATCCCGCCTCCTTTCCAGCCTCCTCTCTGGCCACTTCACCCTAACTCTCTGTTCCAGCCAGCACGGCCATGCTTGAGATTCCTGAAGGCCATTTCCTCCCGTCACAAGCTATCCAATCCCATGTGTGCTCGACCACTCTTGCTGAAGCCCACTTATTTCACTTGAAGGAAGCCCACTCATTCCTTAGATCTGGCTTGAAGCATGCTCCTCAGGGTGGTGCCCCACCAGGCCGTTATTCGCTCAGCGAGCACCGTTGCACTAGTTTTCCATCACAGCTGTGACATTACCTCAAAGTCTGTGATCCGCAAGGTCTGCAGTTAAAAACCACCAGCCGCTCCCCAGAGGAAGATGAGCTTTTCCGCACCCGCACAAAGCTACAGTCTCAGAAACTCACAGGGGCCTGTCTTATAGGGTCGCTATGAACGGGCAGCCACTCGATGGCCATGAGTTTGAGTTTTGATAGTTCTGGAAGCCAGAAGTGTAAAATCATTTGCACTGGGCTGAAGGCAAGGTAATGGCAAGTCTGGTTCCTTTGGGAGGCTCCAGAGCAGTGGTTCTCAACCTTCCTAACGCCGCGACCCTTTCATACAGTTCCTCATGTGGTGGCGACCCCCCAACCATAAAATGATTTCCGTTGCTACTTCATCACTGTCATTTTTTTACTGTGATGAATCGGGCGACCCCTGTGAAAGCGTCGTTCGACCCCCAAAGGGGTCCCGACCCACAGGTTGAGAACCACTGCTATAGAAAATAGTCCATTTCCTTCCCTTTTCCAGACTTTTGAGGCTACCTGCATTCCTTGGCTCATGGCCCCTTCCACCATCTTCAAAGTACTTCTTTCTAATCTCAATTTCTGTCATTACAGTCCCCTCTCTGACGCCAACCCTTTACGTACCGCTTATAAGGCCCCTGGTGATTGTAAGGGATGACCCTGACAAACTAGAATCATATCCCCGGTTTAAGATTGTTAATCTTATCGGTAACGGTAACGTTCCTGTCTCCACATAAGGTAACATATTCACAAATTCTGCAGCTTAGGACATGGAGATCTTTGCGGGAGCAATATTCAGTCTATTACAACTTGATATCTTTCTTTCAAAGCATTTGTCACCCTTAGTAATACTAGGTCCTATACGTATTTGAGTCACTAAGTAACTAAGGTTCGTTAGCTCCCTGTGCTGTGCGCCCCACAATGCTAAGAACAGACTCTGTAGTCCTTCCCAGAGCCTCAGCACCCAGGTGGAAAGATCAAACCCAACCCACTGCCACGGAGTCACTTCCCTCAGTGCACCTCTCAGTGACACAGTAGAATCGCTCCACCGTGTTTCCGGGCCTAGAAATCTTTGACAATGCAGACTGACTGCTTCATTTTTTTTCTCCTGTGGAGCAGCTGTGGGTTTGAACTGCCAACTTGTCAATTAGTGGCCCAACTCCTAACCCTGCCAGAGCTCTTTGCACCTGGTCCGTGCTCACTTACATGTGTGTTGAGTTAAGAAACATACTGTTGTCCAAGCCATAAAAACAATAATAATAGTGGTGACACGTTATATGGAAACTTCTTTTAACATCAATATTGCTTTTACTTTGTGAAACAAATAAAAACCAAGAGGGGAAAAATGCAGGAATGAATAAGCCCCTAAAGATGTTCAGTCAACAAAAATTTAAATTAAAAAAGTGTCACTTACTTCGTATCCAGAAGCTGAAGTTGATGGTTACTGTCTCTGTGGGACATCTTCAGTTTGGTGCTTTGCTCTGATATTGACAAGTCTACTCTGTTCAAAAGCTGTGAAATCTGGAAAAGAAACCTCCCTTGTAAACATCACATCTAAACTCGTCAGCTGCAATTCCCAAGAACATCTGCCAAATTATAGTCTAATCGGTGGCGTGGACGATTCAATGTAACTTCATAAATTCATTTAGGATTTCGCCTCCACTTCCTACCACCATGTTCTTTCACAAGTGCCTTTTCCAAATCAAGACCCGTCGCACTGCGAACAGATGCATCACGCATTGAGTACTGAGTAGAACCCAGTTTCACCCCACAACCACTCCACCACTTCTGCCAGCTCGTATAAGACAGCGTCATTTTCACTAATGTGGCTGCGAGCCACGGATCACAGGATTTCAACTGCTTATAAAATCTGTACATTGTAATTCCAGATTTATTTGCATATTGAGTCAGATCACAGAAAATACAATTTGTGGGCTACATTCTTCCCACTATTGTCGTCCATGACCCACCTATTTCCTTTGTATTCTTTTTTCCCTTTAAACTAAAAGTTAATATAAAAACCAATCATCTGTGAAGTGGCTACATTTTCTGCAAAAATTAGGATGTTCAAGATTCCTAACTTAACAACTCCTAGAGCAAGTATTGGTTAAATCCAAAACAAAGAATAAATAGGTCCCCTCTGGTGGATTTCTGTAAGTATTTTACTTGGCTTGGCCATCAGGAAGCTCAACATGTTTTTAACCTTGATTTTCTGTCTTTACTCGTGAAAAAAATCAGTAGGCTTGTCTTTCATTTATTTATTTTTCATAGTATCTGTGCTCTTCGTATAAGTGGCTTCAGGTCTCGATTGAAGTAGAAGATACCGATATGAAGGTAGAAAGACACCTTTTCATCCAGTAGCCGCCCGGATTTTGTTAGAATGTCATTGTCAGTTACCGTTGAGGGGATTCTAACCCATGACCGCTTCCTGGGTGGGCAGTAGGCCTGCTCCATAGGCTGTGACCTTCCGGAAGCAGGGGTCCTCAACTGTTTTCTGAGGCATCTCTTGGTAGGTTTGAACTACCACCCATTGGGCTAGTAGTAGAGAAACTCACATGGAGCCCTGGTGGTGGTGGCGTGGGGTATGTGCTGCTAACCACAAGGTCAGTAGTTCAAAAACTACTAACTGCTCCTTGGGAGCAAGATGAGGCTTTCTACTCCTGTAAAGAGGTACAGTCTCAGAAACCCACAATGGCAGTTCTACTGTGTCCTTACCGGGTCATTACGAATCAGAATGGACTCGAAAAAGCAGGTTTGTTTGTTTGTTTGTTTGTTTGTTTGTTTGTGAGCACTTATGTCACCCAGGGACTCCTTTTACTGGAATAAACAAACAAACTAAAACAAACACATTGCCATCGAGTCAACTCTGGCTCACATAAACCCTATAAGACAGAGAAAACAGCCCCTTTGGGTGTGGGAGGCTGTAAATCTTTACGGGGGCAGAAAGCCCCATCTTTCCCCTGAGGAGCAGCTGGTGGGTTCAAACTGCTGACCTCGTGGTGAGCAGTCACGTCACCACTACGCCATCAGGGTTCCATTTCAGTGGAATAGTCTCTCTTTAAATCAAGAAGAGCAACTTGGGTAGATATTGTGGGGAAAGTTTTAAACAGACAGGCTCTTTTATGGCAAAGAGAAACTTGTAAATGGCTTAAAAACAAACTTATAAAATTGCAATGGTTTTGCTTTGTAGTCTATAAATGTCAAGTCGATTATATGAAAGTGGATTAGCTAACCTGCCTTCTAGCTGGACACTGAATAAGGAAGACCAAAGAAGAATCAATACATTTGAATTGTGGTCCTGGAGAAGAATATTGTAAGTACCATGGGTTGCTAAAAGGACCAACTGTCCTGGAAAAAGTACGACCAACGTGCTCCTTAGAGCTCAGGAAGGCAAGGCTTTGTCGTACATACTGGGGCATATCCAGTCCCTGGAGAAGGACATCATGCCTGGGAAAGTGGAGGCTCAGTGAGGGAGGGAAGGCCCTCAACAAGATGGGTGGACACCATGGCCGCCACGATGGGTTCAGGCACAGGAACCATGGCAGCGTTGTGCATGGGGCCGATATGGGTTAGAACCAGCTCCATGGCACCTAACAGCATCTTTTAGCTTTGACCTAATTTTGTCCCCTACGAAGGGCCTACCTACCTGTACCATGTGCTGAGGGCCAACGTAAGATGAGTCCCAGGGAATACAGTTTCCTAAACCAAAAATTGGCACGGGAAAGAATGTTGATCACATCTCATTCGAGAGATAAGTGTTGGGGATACAAATGAGAATCCCTGGAACACGGCCATTGTTTTAGGGGGGCGAAGAAAGACTCTGTAGAAGGAGGTGTGGTTGCCAGGCACAGAGAGGGCCTGTCTACAAACAGAGGGAAGGAAAAAGGAAAAGAGAAAGAAGATGCTTTTGAGCTGCAAAAACCCACGCTGAGTGCCCCAGCCGGTTTCTCCCAAAACAAATAATCAGCACCATGCTGTCCTTAGCTAAGAACAAATTAACTGCTTTTAAAAGGCTGCCTGAAGCAGGTCCTACCTGGCCCTCTGCATCTTTAATTTTTGTTTCCAATATGAGTTTGGCAGCTTGCTGTTCCTTGTTCAAGTGCTGAAGCCCCTCATAGGTTGACTTGTGTTCTGCGGAGAGTCGGGCTATGCTGGCGTCACACCTGTCCAGACAAACACCAACGTGAACGCTTATTAAAGTTTAGAAACCCACACAAAGCTTTCATACAGACTATAAAATGCATGGCTCCACCAAAAGGAATTATAGTATCAATCAAACTTTTCACAGAGTTTAAGTTAAACCACAAGAAGAGTCCTCCATAGGACTAGTAACATACTATCAAAGTAGCTTTCCAATGCTTACATGGACAGAACTGTACGTGTGATACATGAGTCTAATTACAAAAGCTAGATGTGGTCTGTTGCTCTTCAGTACAATCTGTGCACGTTCGAGTTCCAGGTCTCCTTGGACTTAGGAGGTACTGTGTATCACATGTGAAAGCACTACTTCGAATCTTAGACCAAATGACCTGCAGGGCGGTGTGCTTTGAGGGGGGCCCAGAGCAAGGTAGGTTCTACACCTGTTTCAAGCTGTAGTGGAAGCTGTTACACCCCTTGGACCTTATAACTTGGTAGATCCAAAGATGTTCAAAGAATCTATAGCATGCATGTACATTGTGTATGGTGTCTCTATCAAATCCTGATAGTCACCAAATTCCTTGTCTGGAAGTAGCGGGCTGTAGTAGAGAGAGAATGCTTAGTTATGAGGCATTAAGTGACCATGCAATCTGTCTTACATGTTATCTAATCCTGCTGTGGCAGAAATACTGCAATTGGATAGCTTAAACAAATAGAAGCATAGTCTCTCAAAGTTTTAGAAGCTAGAAATCCAAATTTGGGGTGTTAGTTCTAGGGGAAAGTTTCTCTCTTTGGCTCCCAACTTAGAAGAAAGGCCCTGAGCTCCTTCTGTCATCCCATGGAGATCTCCATGTGTCTCAGTCTCAATCCTTCTCTGAGGCTAGTAGGTTCCCAGGGCAGGGATCCCAGGCCCAAAAGACAGACTCCACTCCTGGCTCTTCTTTCTTGGTGGAGGTAGGTCCTTCTTGATCTCACCTTGCTTATTTAATTTCCTTTATACCTCAATAGAGATTGACTCAAGATACAGCCTAATCTTGAAGACTGTGTCCAGCCTCATTAACAATGACACTAATCCTGCCTCATTAATATCACCGAGGTTAGGATTTATAACACAAACCATCAGATTACAAATAGAGGATAATTACAAAATACTGAGAATCATGACCTAGTCAAATTGACACATTGGGGGGGACGAGGGGGGAAGGAGGTGAAATCCACAACACAATCTGAGCAATTCGTTATGAACATCTAGCTACAAAGTTATGCACGTGAACAACACTCCAAACTGAGGAGAGGGGTATACAGAGGTCATGCCCGAGCCCCTTCTAAAGGCCCAGGTTACATGGCCCAGACATCTGCTCCTGCTGCTGTGGCGGCTCTACATCAACTCATACCTAGAGTTGCTGGAGGAGTTCCCAGTGACCGTTGCCTGAGGAAGTCTGGCCCAAATGACTATAATATTCGCCAATGTGCTTGTGCCATTTGGAAGAAGGCTGC